CGGCGCTACATTTTTTTTTTTTTTAAAAATTAATTTTTAAATACTGACACCGCGTATTTATTTTATTGGGAGACTGCAGTTAAAACCAACTCATGATTTACGCCTCTGTTTCCCAAGGCGGGAATTGTGGAACTAGGTTGTCTTGGGGGGCCCGGTGCCTCCAGGGGGGGGGCTTTGGGGTGCTTTTTGGGTGCGGCGGGGGGGGGGCGGGGGAGCAGGGAGTGGGGGGGGTAGGGGGCCCGGCCCCAATCGATGGTCCCGCAGGCAGAATGGTGAAGCAGGTGAGGGGGCAGGGGGGGTGGTGCCAGGCCAAAGCAGGGTGCCAGGTGGGGCTGTGGGGCTGCAAGGCTGGGGGCACAAGCTGGGGCCTGATCTCCACAGGCCACCTTGAGGGACCCCACCCCATGCACAAATTCGTGCACCGGACCTCTAGTACGCATATAAGTTCTGTGGTTAATGTCTTCCCGCTTCCACGCTTTTTTATTACAAGACTACCATAGATATGCACAAAATCATCCAGCAACTACATCTAAAGCACAAATATTTTTTAAAAGGAGGAACAGGCTCATCAAATTATATGATTAAATCATTAGCCAAATAGAAAATTTATATAATAAAGCCAGAGAAAAAGTTGTAAAATATAGTTTACAATAATTATTCACATTCAATGCAGTATATCAATACATTCACCAACCTGGCCCCAAACATGAATTCTATCCAAGTAACTTATATATTCAATTTTAAATAACACAAACTGAATTAGAGACCAACAGTAGCCCCTTATATAAGAATAAAAATATGAAAGTGTATATCCTAATATCATTGCATTGTTTGCTTTTCATAAGTGTTTTTTGTTGTTGTTTTTTGTTTTTTGCTTTGCCTGTACATCACAGTTACAGCTACAGACCAGGTAGCGAATATCACACATGTTCTAAGTGACTGCCACCAACCTGAAAGACAACTAACAGACTATTGCCTCGTCTGATTTTGTGTCAAGGAACAGGTACAGCAGCTCTAAATACTGCGGAATTAAATTTTGCCAACGTCCAATCAAGCCTATGATGGTGATAGAGGCTTTGCACCCACAAAATGAACCCTAGTCATGGTCATTCAGCAATATGACTTGATTCACACCTGCCCAAGGACTACCACTGTCTTCAAAGGTTTACTCAAACAACATAGAAGTTCATCACAGCAAAATTTAAAGGTTAGACTAGGGTGGATTACACAGCTTAAAAAGGTTTGTTTTTTTGTAAATAGGTCTCTGTACATAATGTTTGGCGTTTGCTCGTATTGAAGAAATGACTTACGGGGAAAGTTCAGGTGTACGAAGGCTTGTTCAGTGGCACACCACAGCTGTCTGAACCAGAGAGAAAACTGCTCTTTGCTGGAACAGCTTCCTCCCCAGACCAGTTCTCCACAGGCAGCCAGATGACAACCCTGCCGGCAGCCTGTGCCCCTCAGAGGCTCTGGCAGTGACTCCTGCCCTGGCTTAAAGCCCTTGCCCGGGAGGCTGCCCAAGAGGCAGGGCCACACCCAGTTGAGTCACCATCCGTTCAGGTTAGGTTTGGATACGGAAAGAAAGAATATGGAAAAGCATGTATGGCAACATCTCCACGAACAATACCATCTCCAAACTCTTCTGGCGACTGCATCCTCAGTGTAGACTGGCCAAGGGAGGGGGGTTTGAGGATTCAGAGGAGGGCGGGAGACCTAATTCTGTGCAATTCAGCCACAGTCTTTGGCGGAGCCACGTGGCACTGAGCATGGTACCTAGAAACATTTCTCATGCGTGTTTCCCTTCAGAACCAAAGGACCCCAAAGTAAAGTGGAGAAATTAAGTATAAAACCAAATTGAGGTGGTCTGGACGTGAAGACCACTACCACAGAGATGGCACTGCTGAACTTCCCTTCTCCCTGCAGAACGTAAAATTCCAACGTACAGCTTTGTGTCCACACGTTTGGATGGAGAGGATCCTAAGCTTGATTCTGTGGCAGCCCAGCCCCCAAAACACCTGGTCAGACCAGTTGTGCTACCAAAGCTCAAGTCCAGTCCATGAGCAATGTGCCTGAGAACAGGCAGTGGCCTGAGTCCTGTGGCTGCCCCAGTGTGAGGTTTGTTCTGGGAGCTGCCAGGGCCACACTAAAGTACAGTCTGCTAGGAGGGAGCCCCACCATGAGCTCCCAGTCTTAGGAAGTTTGGGGCTCCTGATGTATATTATATCCCAGTGGTTCTCAGCTGGGGCAATTCTGCCTCCCCACTAGCTCATGGACCCTGGCCAAAATCTGGAGAAATTTTGGATTGCCGTACTGGGGAAGGGAGAATCTGTGTTCCTAGCATCTAGTACAGAGGGGTAGGGATGCTGTAATACCCCACAGTGACAGTTTGGAAGGTCCTGAACGATCTTGTAGACTCCACCCTCTCTCCCCCAGGAAGAACCCCATCAAGTGTATGGTGACTGCCCTCAAAACACTCAGCATTAGGGCAGGCCCCGTATTGAGCCCTGAACTGCACTACCCCTTAAAACAGGAGGGAGAAAGAAGCCCAAGCCCAGGTATCTGCAGAGGTAGCAGCACCCAGGTTGAAAAGCTCATGTTAAAAAATGTTAATGCTGTTCCGGGTGACGCATAGACTGTGGCAGAAGCGATGCTGTATGAAATTTGAGATTCGGTTATAAACATCACGGCAGCTTCTTCCATTTTGCGTGTGTGCTCTTGCTCTCAAAACATTCCCTCTGGGGAAAGCCAGCTGCCACAGGGTGCAGACACCCAGACAGCCTTGGGGAGAGGCCCGCCCCCCTGGTGAGGAAGTGAGGCATCTACCAACATCTGGGTGAATGGACAATCTTGGAAGTAGATCCTCCAGTCCTAATCAAGCTTTTAGATGACTCAGCACTGCCAGCATCTTGACTGCAACCTCATTAGAGACCCTGAGCTAGAATAACCCAAGATGCTCCTGGATTCCTGCTCCTCAGAAACCATGAGATAATAAATCTGTGCTGTTTTATGCCTGTAAATTTGGGGGTAAGTCATTACCCAGTGCTACATAATTAACACACTAGCTGTGTGAAGTTAGGCAAGTTCCGTTACCACGGAACCCCATTCCCTCCCGTGTGCCCAGAGGGTTATAGGAATGAGTGAGAAATACCTGAATTAGCGCAGGCCAGGTGCAAGCACAGAGCTGGGTTTGCAGTGAGTACTCCACACAAGTGGCCCATGTACATAAGGCAGCCTTTTAGTTCTCCACACCCCGCGCCCCATGGGTATGGTCATCCTCCTGCCCCTCCCTAGGTGGGACTTGACCTCACAATGTCAGACCAAGTCATTGCATTCTGTCCTGAGGTTACCCTTCTGCCAGGGGCAGAGGCTCTGGGCACAGAAGGGACAGAAAAGCTGGGAACTGTCCTCATTCCTCCAGCCAGGATGCCAGTGAACGCTGCTGGCACAGGTGAGTGCACCTCCCCTCCTGCTCACTGTCCTGGGAGGGGCAGCCAGAGCTAACA